TGGAAGCTTGGAAAGGAAGTCTTACGGCATCTGTCGTTTACCTTTTCATACTATTTCTCCTTTCTCTACTGGGGGCCAGCTGACATTCTTGTTGTTATATTTGCTGTTCCTGAGGCCAAATTCCTCGGGAAAGTTGTTCAGCGTCACCCATCCACAGCTAATGGTTCCTCTGGGCCGGTGCTGCGGCATAGTAGGTTAAGCCTCTGCCTGCAGTGCCAGCATCCTATACGGGCACCAGTTTGAGTTTCAGCTACTTCACTTCCAATCCAGCTCCCTGCTAATGGCCTGGGAAAGCAGGGAAATATGACCCAAGTGCTTGGCCCCTGGGAGACCTGGAAGAAGCACCTAGAATCTGGCTTTGGATCGGCCCAGTTCCAGCCATTTGGCCATTCGGGAAGTGAACCAGCACATGGAAGACCTCTCTGTCACTCCCTCTCTGTAACTCATCCTCACAAATAAATAAATCTTAAAAAAATAATCATGCCTCAACCCCCTCTTTGTAAGCTACGCAGCCTTGGGTATTTTGTTATAGCAACACAACCAAGACAGTACCCTAGTGAGCGAAGGTGTGCACTGCATGGTTGAATTGCTATGCAGAGTCAGCAGTCCTTAAACAAGCAATACAAGTGGCCATCAGGCATGGACACACTGTCTCATTCCCAGTCACAGAGGCACCGGTCAGTCCTTACATTCTACTGACACCAGTGGTAATAATGGCGGCTGTATGGGGGTCATCAGGCACCATACTCGCAGGCACACGTCTATGTTTGTATGCTGGTTGCTTTCCCTGGCTTGCACAGACACAGAAGCCAAATGACAGTGCTGGGGCATTCGTGATTCTGCGTGAGGGCTGAGCTGGGTCAGAGGCATCAGCTTTCCTGGTGCTGCTACGCACAGCATCTTCACTTGTGACGTCTTCATGCAAGAAGCAGCTGTGCCAAGTGTGAAATGAAGGGTGCCTCCTGTACGCCACTGCAAGCCTGGTGTTTCCATGCCACAGCGACCGACCCAAGAAGCCATCAACCAAGACGAGCAGTGGGAGTAACAGCTGAGCTCCATCGAGGCTCAGTAATTGCAGGCAGTGAAGGAGTGAGCCCCCAGGAGGGCGATGGCGAGCAGGTGGCAGGAATTCCTTGAGACATCCCAGAAGACAGGAATATCTACTGATCTGTGCGTTAACTGTCTTGAATGCTGCACTCATGTGTGAATAATGATTCCAAAGCAGCGTTAACACCACAGATGTCTTTTCTCAACTCATCTCTGATGGAAGATCAACAAGTACGTTTTCTATACCGGAATCCCTCAAGGGTCCCCTTTTCCTCTTTGCAGCTCTCATGCTTTTGGATGAGCCCCTCTGGTCCTGTCTCTCCGAGGGAAGGAGCCAAGCCACCCCCGACCTGCAGACGGTGACTCTTTGAGGAGTGCTGGGTCTTTACTGCAGCCAGCAGTTCTAGGTTGTGCCTGGTACACGGCTCTGTTGACCTTGGCCTGGTGGATTACCAGGAGGAGTTCTGCAACTACTCCGACCTCTTTCAATGGTTTTAAAGCATAGTTTTTAGCAGAAAACCTGGAAACCGATGCATGTTCATGAATAAAAAATAATGGGACAAAGAGTAATTTCTGGGGCTTCTGTACTATGAAACATTAAACAGTTGGTAAACAGAAACACGATAGATCTACATGGTTTATCTTAGAGGGTATTGGTTATAAATGTTTCAAATCAGTTTGTTTAGAATGAGCCCATTCTCACCGGATTCTATAAGCGTGTGTATTTGAAAGATCCTGGAGAAAGGATATGAAAGAGCACTTACTGAAACATTAGCACTGGTTACCAAGAGGATGCCGGAAGCTTCTTGTAGAGGCTGCCACACCTCCAGAGAATGGACTAGCACATTACCTTTCACTTTATACAGCTTTTTTTTTTTTTTGAAGCAAAATACAGTACAAATTTATTGACTCCAGTCATCTCAGTTAAGGTTTAAGCAAAGTAAACGGAAAACAGAATTGGGTACAAGTAAGCAATGGATTAACATCAGATTCACTTTATACATATTTAGAATACTTTCCCTGTTTAAAAAAATCAGCTTGATAATTAAAATTAACAAAAATATTTAATTTTGGTGGAGGAAAGGATGGCGAATTTTCTTAACCTACCCAACAGCGTCTAATACAATGAATGTTCTATAAATATCCGTGAAAGGAGGGATAGGAGGGATAGAAGGGAAGGAACAGGTTTAAGTGTGTCTGGTAGAGATATAAAAGATGACCATGAATGGCAAGATGAAGTCCTGAAAAACTCTTACTCAATAGTGGGAGACAGAGAAAGCAGGAATACTTGATCAGCTAGCAAAATAAAATGGGGGAAAAGAAGAAGTGGAAAAAGCACAGGATGATAAACAGACCCAGTGCAAGAGAGAAGGTCAATGTGGAGATGTCCAATAAATGTAAAAGTTGGATTTACCCATGGAAGGGAAAAGCTTTTCACGCTGGGTGTCTAAGTGTCACATTCTCAGATGGGAGGGATTGCGAAGATGTCGTTTTTGCCTTTTAAACTGGCCTCCAAGTTCAGAGCTCCGTGCTCTCATAGCTGATGCTGGACTTCTGCATGAGGGAAGTCGACACTCTAGAGATACCAATTGAAGACATAATGGCACTGGCATCCCTTGCAAACCTTAACTGTGGCAGACCGCGCATGAGCGGCAAACGCAGCATCGCTCGCAGGGGCGGAGCCGCTTCCTACCGGGTTCCCAGCACAGACTTCCTATACTGCCTATCCCCCTTTACTCATCACCAACAGCTCCAACTCTACCACAAGCAGTTGTCTTTTAAAATGTTTTTGTTAGGTTTCCCCTAACGTGATCCTTCTTACACCACTCCTCAGCCTGAAGCTCAATATGCGGTCAGTCCACTCACACAGAGGACTTTCAGCCAAGGTTCCTGGCAGTCAGCTACCCATCTCGCTTACTTAAAAGAACATTCAGCGGGGCTGGCGCTGTGGCGTAGCGGATAAAGCCACTGCCTGAAGTGTGGGCATCCCATATGAGCACCAGTTCGAGTCTCGGCTGCTCCACTTCTGATCCAGCTCTCTGCTACGGCCTGGGAAAACAGTAGAAGATGGCCCAAGTCACTGGGCCTCTGCAGCCGCGTGGGCAACCTGGAAGAAGCTCCTGGCTTTGGATTGGCACAGCTCTGGCCATTGCAGCCAACTGGGGAGTGAACCAGCAGATGGAAGACCTCTCTCTCTGCCTCTTCTCTGCACAACTCTTTCAAATAAATAAATAAATCTTTAAAAAAGAATTTCAGAAAGAAACATTCCCTGGGCCGGCACTACAGTAAAGCTGCCATCTGCAGCTCTGGCATTCTATATGGGCGCCGGTTCTAGTCCCAGCTGCTCCTCTTCTGATCCAGCTCTCTGCTATGGCCTGGGAAAGCAGTGGAAGATGGCCCCAGTCCTTGGGCCCCTGCACCTGCGTGGGAGACCTGGAAGAAGCTCCTGGCTCTGGCTTTGATCAGCGCAGCTCCGGCCTTTGCAGCCAACTGGGGAGTGAACCAGTGGAGAGAAGACTCTCTCTCTCTCTCTGTAACCCTTTCCAATCAATCAATCAATCTTTTAAAAAAACGCACTTGCTCTCCTCACAGAAGCGAGTTCAGTCAGCAGTTGATTCACATTTTTCAAGTTTCATTACAATGCCTGTGTTAGGCAGAAGTCAGATATGAGCTTATGTGTGTGTGTGACAAAGGCCTAAGGAGACATTTGGGTCCAGCATATGCATCTCGAAGTCATCCCTATAACAGGGGCAGCCCAGTACCTGCATCCTGCCCTGCTCCTTCTACCCGATAACCTGCCTGGTGGGGGTCCCCGACCCTTCTGCCTGACAATCTTCCAGCTGCAGCCCAGCCCCTCCTACCCGATAACCATCCTTCCTCTAAGGCTCCTCTCAGGCTGGGCGACCCCAGGCAGGCTTCCCCCTGTCTGATAACTTCAGGGGGAAAACTCAGATCTAACTTAAGGGGTAAAACTCAGATCGGAGTTTTTCTATTTACATCCAAAAAGTCCTTTGTTCCAAGAGGAGCAGAGGTGGGGAAGCAAGACCCATGGCCTTAAAATCCCCCCCCCCCCCCCCCCCCGGGGTGAATTGGCGGTCACCCCTCTGTCCTTTGGTGAGCCGCCCGCCTGTACTCTCTCCACTCAACCATGCAACCTCGCTCTTCCCCAGTCCGAGCGACTGGGCACTCTCTCTGATTCTGTCTGGAGAGGTGCCCATCCGTTCTCACGGATGTCACTTCCCTAATAAGCCTTGCTATTTTACCTCCCACTACTCTGTCTCAGGCCTGAATTCTTTCTTGCGCGGAAAAAAAAAAAAAAAACGCTGCCCTTCACCGGTAACACTTGGAATGTACCCTATTTGTATAATCCTGCAAACAAGCAAATCGCCATTATTTAATCCCCCACATCAACCTAACCCCTTAAAGGCCAATTATGGGGTCCCTGCATTTTGTCTCTGAGTTACCTCTATCAGCTAACACGTGAAACTTTCAGAGACAACACTGCACTTGCATGAACCCTGTGATGTCGCGGGGTCTAGCCGCGGCCGCCGCCTCCTGCAGCCCCGGGGGCCGGGGGCCAGGAGAGCGTCCAGGGCACAGCCCAGGCCTACAGCCGCCCGGAGGGTGCCGCCATCGGCAGCCGGCGGCGGGGTCTCCCCTCGTGCCATCCCCCGCCAGGCACTCGGGCCCGCATCTGCCCTGGGCGTCACGCCAAGCCACACGGCGCCCCCAAGTCTAGATCGAGCCTGATGGAGCCCACAGCGGCCTCAAATCAGAACAACCCAGGAACATTCCGCCGCAACACCCGGAAATACTGGCGCAGTGCCCGGGACGCGCTGACGCATGCGTATCTCGGAGGCGAGGCGGTGGGCGGGAAAAAGGGAGGGGAAGGCGGCGGTTGGGTTAGAGGCGAGCCACGCCCACCGCGCTAACGTATGTGCGCATGCGCGGCCTCGGGTTTCTGGTACTTTAGTCGCGCCTGGGGGACGTCCGGCTCAGTTGGCGTCAGGACTTCGCTGTGGTAGTTTGCCGCGTTTTTCGGAGTAGGGCGCTAAAAGCGCAGCTTCGTCCCGACCTTCGAAAGAAAGGCTGGCCTTAGCCTTTCTTCCGGCCCTAAGGGAGGCGGTGACCGCCGGCCGTAAGTTTCCCGCAGTTCCGTCGGGTGGGGGGGTGGCGTTTCGCGGTAGCGCCGTGGGGCCGACCGAGGCCTCGGGGCTCGGCTGCTTCCGGGGCGGGCGCCCGGCCCCGCCCCCACTTCCGGGCGCTGAGTTGTTTTCCTGTTTCTCGTTCCCCGCCAGGCTTGAGTTTCCGGGAAGGACTCTGCTCTTCAGACCGCGGGGGCGAGATGTCCGGCTACGTGAGCGCGCTGTGGCCCGGCTCGCCGCAGGACAAGGGCTCGCCGGCCAGCTCGGGCCGCTCCAGCCGCTCGTCCTCCGGCAGCTCTCGCCCGGCCTCCCGCCGCTCGAGTCGGTCGTCGTCGCCGGGCCGGAGCCGCTCCCGGTCCCGCTCCCGGTCCCGCTCCCGGAGGCGCCACCAGCGGAAGTACCGGCGCTACTCGCGCTCCTACTCGCGCAGCCGCTCGTGGTCGCGCAGCCGCCGGCGCGGGGACAGGCGCCGGGCATCGCCCCGCAGGCGCCCCGGGTCTCCGCGGCGGGGCCGCTCCCGCAGCCGCTCGCGCTCCCGGAGGTCGCCGCGCGGGCGCCGCCACTACGGCTTCGGGCGCACGGTGTACCCGGAGCAGCGCGGCCGGCGCCGGGCCCGGTCCCGCACGAGGTCCCGCAGCAGGACCCCCTTCCGGCTGAGCGAGAAAGGTGGGTGTCGGTCCGGGAGGGACGGGGTCTGGGGGTCTCCGCCGCTCGCGGTGCTGCGGGGAAGCCTGGGTGCTGGTGGGGAGGGAGCACGCGGGCTGGAGTGCGGCTGAGAGCGGTGCCCTTGGACGCGGTGGGGGTTGATGGTTCGGGTGGAGGAGACGCTTTCTCCAGGCTGTTTGCTCTCGTCCTGGTCTTTTTCTTTAAAAAAGAAAAAAGTTTTTATTATTTGAAAGAGTTACACAGAGAGAGGAGAGGCAGAGAGAGGTCTTCATCCGATGATTCACTCCCCAGTTACCACAAAGGCTGGAGCTGCACCGATCCAAACCAGGAGCTTCTTCTGGTCTGCCACGCAGGTGCAGGGGCCCAAGGACTTGGGCCATCTTCTGCTTTCCCAGGCCATAGCAGAGAGCTGGGTCGGAAGTGGAGCAGCCGGTGCCCACGTGGGATTCCAGCACTGCAGGCCAGGGCGTTATCCCGCTGCTCCACAGCGCCGGCCCAGGCATAGTCTTTTAAATGGGAATGATGTGCTTACCTATTCTAAGTTGCTAACTAAAGTAACTACCAGAAATTTTCTTGTTTTTGCAGGTAGACAACTTTTCCATCTGCTGCCTCACTGCCCAGATGCTTACAACAGCCAGGGTGGGGCGGGGCCACAGACTGGAGCCCAGAACCCAGTCTCCTCCATGGGTGTCAGGGACCCCTCCTGCTTCCTCAGTAGGGAGCTGGAAGAACTTGAACTTGGGTGCTCTGACATGTGATGGGGGTGTCCCAACTGCTTAAAATTTTAGCTGCTGTGGCATAGTGTGTAAAGCTGCTGCTTGCTGTACCGGCATCCCATATGGGCGCTGGTTTGAGTCTTGGCTGTGCTGCCTCCAACCCAGCTCTCTGCTTTGGTCTGGGAAAGCGGTAGAGGATGGCTCAAGTCCTTTGGCCCTTGGACCCGCATTGGAGACCAGGAAGAAGCTCCCGGCTATGATCAGCTCAGCTCTGGCTGTTGCAGACATCTGGGGAGTGAACCAGTAGATGGACGACCTCTCCCTACCTCCCTCCCCCTCTTCCTCTCTCTAACTGTGCCTTTCAAATAAATGATCTTTAAAGAACATTTTTTAGCTGCTCCCCAAATATCTATCCCTTAAATGAACTGTTGAATTGGGGAGGAAAGTACCAAGGATTTTTTTTTTTTTTTGACAGGCAGAGTGGACAGTGAGAGAGAGAGACAGAGAGAAAGGTCTTCCTTTGCCGTTGGTTCACCCTCCAATGGCCGCCGCGGCCGGCGCGCTGCGGCCGGCGCACCGCAATGATCCGATGGCAGGAGCCAGGTGTTTATCCTGGTCTCCCATGGGGTGCAGGGCCCAAGCACCTGGGCCATCCTCCACTGCACTCCCTGGCCACAGCAGAGGGCTGGCCTGGAAGAGGGGCAACCGGGACAGAATCCGGCGCCCCGACCGGGACTAGAACCCGGTGTGCCGGCGCCGCTAGGCAGAGGATTAGCCTAGTGAGCCGCGGTGCCGGCCAGTACCAAGGATTTTTTTAAAATTGGTTCCCAGATACCTGCCCCTTAAATATTTATTGAATTGGAGTAATACCAAAACACATTTTTTAAAGTGTCAGTAGTAAACAAAGTTGAATTGTCTAGTATTTTGTAACATGACTTCTGGTGTGGTAGGTGGGATTGTGGAATAGGAAAAAATTAGGTAACAAACTTACGGAAGTGTGAATGTGGGCTTTAGTAGTAGTAGTATTGATCAAGAAGTTGATATCAAAGGTCTGTTAAAAACTCCTAGGTTCAGAAATAAATATTTGAAGAGAAAATAACAAGGTGGTTGTCAGAAGAACTGAAAACTAGGGTTTCACTGTGCCTGTGGCAAATAAACACGGCTTTTACACATCTGGATATAGCTGTTTTAAGTAAAACAAGCACATTTTTGGGAAAAACTACAGGAGTAATAATAATAAATGTGTCTTTTTGTTTGTTTAATAGATCGAATGGAGCTGTTAGAAATAGCAAAAGCCAATGCAGCGAAAGCTTTAGGAACGACCAACTTCGAGCTGCCGGCTAGTCTCAGAGCGGTTTTAGTAGCCAGAGAAACAAGCCATGGGGCGGCCGTGCCAAATGATGGCGCGAAGGCTGAGGTAAGCACTCTCGTTTACACGAACAGACTCTTGAGAAAGCTGCTGCCAGAGGGGTTTCATTAGCCGTTTTGATTGACCTTAGACTATCTCTCGGGACATCTACCCATACATAATTCCCTAAAATTAGCAGTCGTGACCTTCTAGACAGGATCGCACCCGTGAGAATGGGAAGTTAATGAGCTTTACCTTCAGTAGACACGGTGTTAGTCACTTCACGACAACATCAATATATGGTAGCTGGGACATTGGTGATTTTTATTAAGTTTTTTACAATTCCGGTCTTAACTCTAGCCTTCAGGGTGTTTGTCCGTAGCTTTCATTTGCAGCGTTGTTTTCCTGCACATCTATATTCAGCATACAGTATAGTTTACCTGCTTTATTTCTGTCTTATAGAAATCATGAATGTGCTCTCCAGACATTGATGAAGAAAATCTGTTGGTAATTGGTACATGGCTAAAGCACCAGAGGTTTACCTGAGTTTCCCTCAGACACTGAAAACTCGAGTTCCCTATTGGTAGATCCATGTGCATGCTAGAATCTGGGGCTGCATTTGCATATGGTACTCAAGACAGTTTTTAAACTAAGCAAAGGTACACTCTGTAATGGTGGGGCATCTCTGCTATAGATGTCCCTTACATAATGTATGCAATATATTCCAGATGTTTTGAGAGATTACAGAAGAGGATGCCTGCTTCATTTGAAGATAAGTTTATTATAATTCTCCAGAAATGTGCAGGATGTGCATTGGCAGATTGCACTGTACTTCCGAGTTAATTGTGTAAAATCAAAAGCTTTAAAATTATTGGCTTTCAAAGCCCTAAGATAGAATTGAATAAAAACCAGTTAATATAGTAAAAATATAGTAAAAACACTACAACTAAGTGAGCCCATCACTGGAATCCAGATGTGAGTTTGTTTGGTATTAGTAGACAAGATCTTGTTTATTTGTAAGATTTATTTGAAAGTCAGAGTTAAGACAGATCTTCATGTGCTGGTTCATGACCAGGGCTGGGCCAGGCCAAAGTCTTGAAGCTTCAGGTCCCCCACGGGGGTGGCAGAGGCCCAGGGACTTGGGCCTGCATCTGCTGCTTTCCCAGGCACATTAGCAGGGAGCTGGATCGGAAGTGGAGCAGCAGGGACTCAAACTGGTGCCCATATGGGATGCTGGCAGTGCGGGCAGTGGCTTAACCTGCTGCACCACGGCACCAGCCCCCCAGTAGACAGGATCTTAACTTCAGTACTTGTTCAGATGATTCAGTTCTCAACTGGCAGATGATTTAGTTCCTTGAAACTCGTTACTTTCTGGTATGACTTAAAAGTTATTAGAGTTTGAATAAAATATGAGGAGCTGTGCCTAACACCTACTATTAAATCAGTTTCCCTAAGGGAAAAACAGAGTTCTCTGTTGAGGCTGTTAACTGTACAGTGTTAGGTCTGAGTTGGTTTGTGTGTCTTATTGTAAATTTATATACACTGGGGTTGGTTTTTATGCAGTACTTGTAAACTAAGAATATGTGTTTTTAAAAAATACTTGTCCTCTTGTTTATGTAGGTGTCAGAAGAGCTGACAGAAGATGGAACTAAGAAACTCAGTGAAAAGTCTGCTCAGCAGAGAAACATAGCTTTTAGTTCTAACGTAAGTTACCCGAGAACTGACCGCTCAGGATCACTGCAGAGGGTTTGCTCTTGGTTCATCTTTGTGAGAATTTGGGAGTTGCTAAGCTCCTGAAAACAGGGTTTCCTGTAACTTGGCACCACTTCACAGGTGACCGTCACAGGGGGTTCCACCTATGTCTGACCCCCCAGACTCAGTTTCAGCGTTGGCTGTTGAATCCCTTTTAAAGTTGTTGGAACATTTTGAAAGGAAATCCCTGACTACTTGTCAGTGAGAATGTCTTACAATAAGGGCTCAGAAAGCGCAGCCTCAGCCGTCGCACCGTGCGTGTCTTCTCCGTGCTTTCCTGGCTTTACCATCCCGTTAAGTCAGATCACAGGTGTGAGCCCATGCTTCGGATTTGGTTGATGTCTGGTTTCCTCAATGGATAGATCTGATATATTTGGTGAAAATAAATATATGAAATGTATCTTTGAGACGCTGACTTAATTTCTTCTCTTGCAGAATTCTGTAGCAAAGCCGGTACACAAGTTGGCTAAAGCTGCTGCTGAAGAAGTATCTTCAGGGTCACCGAAGATAGATAAGAAGAAAAGCCCGTATGGACTGTGGATACCCGTCTAGAAGAAGACTAACGGCTAAGATCGCCCAAAACTGCACTTTATTGCAAATTTGTTTTTAGTGTTATCCCATCCCTTTGAGCCATTTATAGTAATTGTTGCACACAAAAAATAGAAGCATTTAATAATCAAATATTAACATTCTAGGTTTCTCTTGCTTCATAGAGAACTCGAATGGACCAGAGGTTACATACAGGTGGGCGCTTTGTACATACACTTGTAAATATTGTATAATACCAGCTATGCAGAGTGAAATTTGTAAGATGAAAATAAACTTTTGTATATTTGTTAATAAACTGATTTAATTATTTTAACTCCTCTCATGATTCTTCGTTTAACAGAGAAGTATAGGGAAGCTTTTTTAAAGGTTTATGTATTATTTTGAAAGAGTTGGGGAGACCTTCCATCTGCTGGTTCACTCTCCAGATGGCCGTAATGGCCAGGGCTGAGCCAGGCTGGAGCCTGGAGCCTCGTCCCGTCCGGATCTCCCACTTGGTGCAGATGCCCAGCACTTGGTGACTACTGTAGGGAGAGGGTGCCGTGTCACTGCTGGTGAGAGCCTCCGCAGAGTAGCCCTGTGAGGTCAGCACGAGTTACTCCTACAACCAAGGCTACGTCCTAGCTCAGTGCAGCCAGAATCAGCACTCTTCAAGTCCTTTTAGCAACCGAGTAGGCTATCAAGTTACACTGCCTCCCTGTTTCTCAGCCTTTTCTATGTCAGCTTTGATGTGCTTGGTCTACCAGTGATACTGGTATAACTGGACAGCATTGTAATTGAGATTGGAGCACTATAAGTCTTGTTACTAAATTCAGCATTAATAGGCCCATTCTGTAAAGTAAAAGCCAGTTTACTTAGAGATCCATCTACTTGAAATGCACAGTTATAAGACCTTCTGGCTCACTCCCTGAATGGCTGCTGCAACAGCTGGAGCTAGCCAGGAGCTTCCTCCAGGTTCTCCAGGTGGGTGGCAGGGGCTCAAGGACTTGGACCATCCACTGCTTTTCCGGGTGCATGAGCAGAATGCTTGATTGGAAGTGGAGCATCCAGGACTGGAGTTGGTTCTCAAACAGGATGCCGGTGTTAGCAGCTTAATTTGTGCCATAATGCCAGGCCCAGTAAAAGCCAATTTTGTCTGAAAAGCACAAATCGGCACACACAAACCCCCAATCCCCCGTCTTCCTCTTGGATCTTCTGCATGGATCACCAGGAACTTACTCTGGTAGTCTTTGGCTAGATATTCCTAAAAAGGGGGAACAAAACATTGGCTCTATCACTTAATGATTCCTTGGTTCCTTTTAAATCAGAGACCTAGAGACTTGTTTAGACTATATGTTGATCAGTGCAGGCACTGGTAAAGCCGCCGCCTGCCGCTCTGGTATCCCATATGGGTGCCAGTTCGAGGCTCAGCTGTTTTATTTCTGATACAGCCCCTCCTAATGCACCTGGGAAAGCAGTGGAAGCTGGCTCAAGTGCTTGGGCTCCTGCACCCAGGTGGGAGACCAGAAGAAGCTCCTGTCACCTGGCCCAGCCCTGACTGTTGTGGCCCTATGGGGAGTGAACCAGCAGATGGAAGACCAGCTGACATCTCTACCTTTCAACTATGATCAACTTTCAAAGAAAATTGTGTATATTTCTAAGTAACACACTAAAAAATAGTTGTGGATAGATTGTGTTAAAGTCCCTTCTCCCCTCCCTTCTGGGCTCAAGGCTGCCCGTTTTCCCACCTTCCTTGAACTGTGTCCGACCAGGTGACTGACGTTCTGAACAGAACACAAGTGGAAGTGCCGAGGCTTGCTCTCGCACTCTAGACCGTAGCTGCAAGTGTACACTCGCCTTCTGGGTGGAACTTGTAACTACTTAGTACCTAGTAACTACCTGGCAGCTGCCAGTCTTATACTTGCGAATGGCAGAGTAATTGAATACTTGCATGGAACAGACCTACCCCTCCAACTTGGGCTGTTCTCCAGGGAACATAATGAGAGATTACTGAATTTTTTTTTTTTTTTTGATAGAGTGGACAGTGAGAGAGAGAGACAGAGAGGAAGGTCTTCCTTTGCCGTTGGTTCACCCTCCTATGGCCGGTGCGGCCGGCGCACTGCGGCCGGTGTACTGCGCTGATCTGAAGGCAGGAGCCAGGTGCTTCTGGTCTCCCATGGGGTGCAGGGCCCAAGCACTTGGGTCATCCTGCACTGCACTCCCGGGCCACAGTAGAGAGCTGGCCTGGAAGAGGGGCAACTGGGACAGAATCCGGAGCCCCGACCGGGACTAGAACCCGGTGTGCGGGCGCCGCAAGGCAGAGGATTAGCCTAATGAGCCGCGGCGCCGGTGAGATTACTGAACTTTATCATTTATTGCTAGAGCTTCTGTCATCGTAGCTTAGCCCTGTGCCCTATTAGCCAATGCTTATGCTACTCTAAGGGTGCTCAGGCACTGTTCTGAATGTTCCACACACTGTTCTCATACTGTGTATTTCGTTCTTGCCGTAGACAGCCTCTATGAGACATTTAAATCCACAGCTGTGAGAATGGCAGCATTGAGTTTTCTGTCATCTTCATTCCAAATGAGCTTTTCTAACTTAGGGTTGCAGGAAACTTAAGTCTTTTATCTGCATAACTTCCTGTGATTTAGTTTTCAGCTTCATTCCACCATGACACAAAATTTGTTACTATAGACAAAAAAATCTAAAGAGATGTAACCTGTCTGTGTCCTGTGGGCCAGGCAAAGCAGGGGCTTGCATTTTCTCCCGAGAGGCATGGAAGCCACTGGAGGATGCTGTGTGTGTGTGGTGGGGATGGGAAGCCACTGGAGGATGCTGTGTGTGTGGTGGGGTGTGAGGTGGGGACAAACGACTGCCTAAACCTTTGGGCATGGTTGTCCTGCCTTCGGGTAACAGTGTGGCAGTGTGGCAGGAGCAGTGTTTGGGATTAAGGGACCTGAGCAGTTCCCTTAGCCTGGGAGGAAACAAGGCTTCCCAAAGCTGAGCTGCACTGAGCAGACCTGGTTGAGAGGACGTTGGAGGGTCCACTGAAGGTGAGTTTCAGCCACTAGGGGGTCTTCACACCTTGAGAAACCCATTAAAATTTTTTTTTATTTAGTAAATATAAATTTCCAAAGTACAGTTTATGGATTACAATGGCTCCCCCACTCCCCCCATAATTTGCTATGCACTTGCACCCTGCCAATCCTGCTCCTCTCCCATGATCACAATCAGATCAATTTTTCCATATCCTTTATAATACAGAAGATCGATTTAGTATATATTAAGTAAAGATTCATCAGTTGCAGCCACACAGAAACACAAAAGTGGTAAAATACTGTTCAGTACTAGTTATAGCATTACTTCACATTGGACAACACATTAAGGACAGATCCTACATGAGAAGTAAGTACACAGTGACTCCTGTTGTTGATTTAACAATTTGACACTCTTGCTTATGGCATCAGTAATCTCCCTAGGCTCTAGTCATGAGTTGCCAAGGCTATGGAAGCCTTTTGAGTTCGCTGACTTCGATCTTATTCCGACAGGGTCAAAGTCAAAGTGGAAGTTCTCTCCTCCCTTCAGAGAAAGGTACCTCCTTCTTTGATGGCCCTGTTCTTTCCACTGGGATCTCACTCACAGAGATCTTTCATTTAGGTCTTTTTTTTTTTTTTTTTTTTCAGAGTGTCTTGGCTTTCCATGCCTAAATACTCTCATGGGCTCTTCAGAGCCAGTTCCAAATGCCTTAAGGGCTGATTCTGAGGCCAGAGTGCTATTTAGGACATCTGCCATTCTATAAGTCTGCTGTGTATCCCACTTGCCATGTTGGATCATTCTCTCCCTTTTTGATTCTATCAGTATTAGCAGACACTAGTCTTGTTTGTGTGATCCCTTTGACTCTTAGACCTATCAGTGTGATCAATTGTGAACTGAAATTGATCACTTGGACTAGTGAGATGGCATTGGTACATGCCACCTTGATGGGACTGTATTGGAACCCCCTGGCACGTTTCTAACTCCACCATGTGGGGCAAGTCCGATTGAGCATGTCCCAAATTGTACATCTCCTCCCTCTCTTATTCCCACTCTTATATTTAACAGGGATCACTTTTCAGTTAACAGAGAAACTTCTCTAGTAGTGAACTATAGAAATGATCCCTGAAAGTATAGTCTTGAGAAACCCATTTTAACAGTTTCTCAGTCTCCAATGGGGTTAGGAGACACCATCAGAATGTAGCCAGCAAAGCCCACACTGAAACTCTAGAAAAAAACCAGAACCTCCACAAATCTCTCAACCTCCATAAAATAATTATTTATAAAAAAATGGAAAGAATTATGGATTTTAAAAAGTTAAAAAAGCAAAAGCATTTGAAATAGTAATATTAAAGGATAATTTAAAGAAAAACACTGAACAAACCCAACTCCCTTGTGGTTGATGAAGTTCAAAAGTTTTTAGGTCACAAAGTTAGTGGTAGAATTAGGCCGAGAATACAAATCGATTTTCAACTGTGTTTCGTCTCTAAATACTTTTAAAATGTGTTTCTTAAAGATCTTATTTGAAATGCAGACTTAACAGAGAGAGGGGGAGAGGTCTTCCATCCACTGTTTTACTCCCTAAATGACTGCAACAGCCAGGGCAGGGCCAGCCAGGAGCCAGGAGCTGCTTCCGGGTCTTCCACATGGGTGCAGGGGCCCAAGCACTTGGGCCACCCTCCATTGCTTTTCCAGGTGCATTAGTGGCTTTACCTGCTATGCCACGGTGGCAGCCCCTCTGTAAACATTTTAATCTCTTTAAACATAGCACAGTATCATCATCACACTGCCCAAATAATCCTTTTGTATCAAATACCCTACCAGTGCTCATGTTTTCCTGATGATCTCATAATGTTCATTATTTTTAGTTTGAACTATTCAAACAAGGTCCATATGTTGTAATTAATCATTATATCTGCCAAGCCTTCTTTTAATCTATAGGTTCTCCCCATTTTTTTAACCCCATGTTTTTTTCTGTGTGGGAAAGGGGGTGGGGGCTGGAAAAGCAGCTCCTATAGTTTCCCAAAGTGGGTTTTGCTGGCTGCCTCTGTGCCACGTGCTTTGACGTGCTCCTTGGTGTCTGTGTTTCCTGCAAGGTGACCATCAGAAGCAGGGGCTTTACCACGTAGGCCGCATTGATTCTTAGCAAGGCTACTTTATATGAGGCTGGTGCCGTGCCCTCTCCAAACAGACAGCGTCTCTGCTTTCCTCTCTTTCGGTGGTGGTAGCAGTCCAGGGACTCAGTGGGCTGCAGAGGGTGACACCTTGATTATTACATCACAGCTTCACATTGCATCTGGCTTCTGTGCATTCTGTCGAAACTCTATATTCTGGGGCTGGCGCTGTGGCGTAGCCGGTAAAACCACTGCCTGCAGTGCCGGCATCCCATATGGGTGCTGGTTTGAGTCCCGGCTGCTCCACTTCCAATCCTGCTCTCTGCTATGGCCTGGGAAAGCAGCAGAAGATGGCCCAAGTCCTTGGAGCCCCTGCACCTGTGTGGGAGACCTGGAAGAAGCTCCTGGCTCCTGATGGGCGCAGCTCCGGCTGTCGTGGCCATTTGGGGAGTGACCCAGTGATGGAAGATATCTCTCCCTCTCTCGGTAATTGTGCCTTTCAGATAAATAAGTAAATCTTTGGGAAAAAAAAATAGCTACTGTCTATTCTTTATACAGTATTTCAGGTGAGTTAAATGTGTGGTCGTCTGTTGTTTAGTTTTTTTGGCCCTGCAGCTGACTGTTCTCCCTATATTGTGCAGTACCCTTGTGTCCAGTTGCAGCTGCTGCTTGCTGACCTCCTGCCCCAGTGAGGACTTCCTTTGCCCCTTGTTCCCTTCCCATCGTTCAAGAGTTCCCGGCGTGTCACCTTGGTCTTCTCGGCACTTCTGAGGTCCTTCTTCCTCAGTAGTTGTTGGCTACAGGCTTTCCCTTGCTTCCTGCTCCGTCCGCTCCCTCGTTGGCTGTCCCACACCCAAGGGCAGTAGTGCAGTTTGGGATGAGTGACCAGCTCACTGTATGAAGACAAATACTCTTCCCCGTCTCCAGTTCTAGGGTCATCCTGCTCACCTGGGTTGATGGGAGGAAGTAGGGAGAGGAGACTTTCAAAATCCTAGTCCAGGGGCCGGTGCTGTGGCACAGTGGGTAATGCCGCAGCCTGCAATGCCATCATCCCGTACGGGTGACTGCTGGAGTCCCGGCTGCAACATTTCCCATCAGCTCCCTGCCATGGCCCGGGAAACAATGGAAGATGGTCCACGTGCTTGGGCCCCTGCACCCATGTGGGAGGCCCAAAGAAGCTTGCTCGCTAGCTCTGTGTGTGTCCCTATCTATAACTCGGCCTTTCAAATAAACAATCTTTTTTTTTTTTTCTTGGTGCGGTTGGAGAATTTAATGTGCATTCAGGTTCACACAGTGCAGTGGGGGCACACACGGCTGCCAGGCCACCCCCTGGGAGAAGAGGAGGGTGTTGCTGGCTGCTGCACCTGCCACGCGCAACAAGATAAACCTTAAAAAAAAAAAAAATCTAGGCCAGGAGCCCCACCAGCTCTGGCCATTGTGGTCATTTGGGGAGTGAAGCAGCGGAAGGAAGACCTTTCTCTCCTTCTCTCTCTCTCTGTAACTCTACCTCTCAAATAAATAAAAATCTTAAAACCAGGCCGGCGCCACGGCTCACTAGGCTAATCCTCCGCCCTGTGGCGCCGGCACACCGGGTTCTAGTCCTGGTCGGGGCACCAGATTCTGTTCCGGTTGCCCCTCTTCCAGGCCAGCTCTCTGCTGTGGCCAGGGAGTGCAGTGGAGGATGGCCCAAGTGCTTGGGCCCTGCACCCCATGGGAGACCAGGAGAAGCACCTGGCTTCTGGCTTCAGATCAGCGCGGTGCGCCGGCCGCGGCGGCCACTGGAGGGTGAACCAACGGCAAAAGGAAGACCTTTCTCTCTGTCTCTCTCTCTCACTGTCCACTCTGCCTGTAAAAAAAAAAAAAAAAAAAAATCTTAAAACCAAAAACCCGAAATGCACCACCTCATACGTGAGCCCTTTTATCGCTGTGCGACTGTATCGAAGACGACCACACAACAGGTTCTTTCATCATGATTCGGATTTAATTATTCACAAACTGCATGTTTAATGTCACGCCTGCACTAGCTGGGGAGTATTTCCCGTCTCTACAGCTCTCCGAGTTGTCGGCGCCCCGGATTTCTCTGTGACGAAGCGACCTCGCCCTGTGACTGGATGGGAGCCCGTCTGCCTGCTGGCCCAGGGCGGGACGGGCCTTGCCCTGCGGCGGCTGATGCAGGAACGGGAAACCAGCGCACAGGAAGGATCCCTAACACTATCGAGGAGTTAAGTGTCACGCGGCGGGAGGTCCGGGAAGCCGGGCCTCCTCTCTGAGGAGGTGACACTGGCTCAGTGCTGAACGGAAAGCATTCTCTGCTCTCGAGAACAGCGCGGACCCACTGCCCACCAGGCTCCATTCAGCCGCTCTTAGCCGACCACCCTCTTCCGAGCCTTTGCCCCGCCCTTTCTTCCTCCTCCCCTTCCGGTTCTGACCTCCTTAGCCCTCTGCGGCTGCGCACGGCCCTGCCCAATCGAAAACCTCGCACCGCTTGAAGGGGCAGCGATTGGCCCTGCATTCCCGAGGCTGTCGGGAAGGGGCGGGGCTTGTCTGACGAGGCTTTCCAAAGGCTGACGGAAGTCTTCGGAGTTGTTGCCGGAAGTGGGAAGAGAGAGGTTGTAATGGCGGCTGCGGCTGAAGTCCAGAAGGTGAGTGCCAGCGCTGTGCCTAGGAGGTTTTGTTAATGGAGTCAGGAGGAGATGGAGAGTCCGGAGGCGGAGGTGGAGGCGAAGCCTGGGCGACGGGCTAGGGAGGCGCCAGACCCTGGAGTCGGGTCGCCGGTGGAGGGCCCCACCCGTCCTGCCGGGATCCGCGAGGACTCGGCCTGGGCTGTCCCGGGGGAAGCCAAGCCGGCCCCGCCTGAAGCTAGTTCTCCTCGCTGCAGGTGCCGGTGGACAGCGCCGAGGAAGGGGCCCTGACGGCGGCCGAGGAGCTGGCGGCCCAGAAGCGCGAACAGAGACTGCGCAAATTCCGGGAGCTGCACCTGAAGCGGGTGAGTGGTCCCGGGGGCCCGCTCGGACCGTCACCTGCCCGGGCCCTTTGCGTGTTGTTAGGGGACGAGGAAGACGCCGCGCCGCGCTGGAGCGTCCCGCGGGCGGCCACTGCAGTCGCCCCGACAACTTTGGGGAGTGCGCCTTGGCGCTCCCGCCCCTTGCACCCCGATCTGCCTTGTCTGTCTGTCTCGGGTTTGCACGTGTGTTCCTAGCGGCGTTTCTGCTCGGTGGGCTGCGTTGGCCGGACGCGGGCGGAAGCTTCCCTGGGTCGCTGTCCATCTCGGAGGCGATCCGCGAGCCCCGAGAGCGGGCGGTGTGCAGGCTCAGCCTCTGCTCTCCGTGTTTCGCTTCTAGAACGAAGCTCGTAAGTTAAACCACCAGGAGGTTGTGGAAGAAGATAAGAGACTCAAGTTACCGGCAAACTGGGAGGCCAAGAAGGCTCGTTTGGAGTGGGAGCTTCAGGAGGAAGAAAAGAAAAAGGTTGGGAGCCTGTCGCTGTGGGCGGGGTCTCTTCCTTCTCTTGTATGGGCCGGGGGCCGTGGGGGCCGCGGACGCGGGCCCTGGCGGTGAACGGCGGGAATTGAACCCTGGCTCTGTCCTTTGGTAGCTCGCACGCTTTGAGGGGAGGGTTTTTTTTTATGCTTATTTTTAAGGAAAGGTTTTAATCTACTAGGGCCGGCGCCCTGGCTCACTTGGTTAACCCTCTGCCTGCTCTGCCTGCGGCGCCGGCATTCCATATGGGCGCCGGGGTCTATCCCGGTTGCTCCTCCGCCAGTCCAGCTCTCTGCTGAGGCCTGGGAGGGCAGTGGAGGATGGCCCAGGTGCTTGGGCCCTGCACCCGCATGGGAGACCAGGAGGAAGCACTGGCCATAGTGGTCATTTGGGGAGAGAACCAACGGAAGGAAGACCTTTCTCTCTGTCTCTCTCTCTCACTGTCTATAACTCTACCTGCCATTAAAAAAAGTTTTTTTTTTTTTATTTACTTGAAAGGCAGAGAGAGAGTTAGAGGTATGTGCTGTTCACTCCTCACATGCCCTCACAGCCAGGCCCGGACCAGGCTGCAGCCGGGAGACTGGAGCTCTGTCCGGGTCTCGCACGTGGGTGATGGGGCCCAGGCACTTGAGCCGGCACCTGCTGCCTCCCAAGATGCGCCAGCAGAAAGCTGGAGTGGAGGGAGGAGCAGGGACTTGAGCCACCAGTGCAGCCAGAGATGCGGGTGTCCCACGCTGGGGCTTAGCACCACAGAGCCCGCGGGGTGAATTGTTTAATCTCTTTGTATCTCCATTTCCTCATCTGTAAGAAAGGGATTATAATCGTAGTTACATGAGTTACTTATGAATTAAATGAGTTACTGCATACAGGACATTTACAACGGTCTGGGGGCTGGGGCCGTGGCGTAGTGGTAAAACTGCCGCCTGCAGTGCCGGTATCCCATATGGGTGCTGGTTTGAGTCCTGGCCGCTTCATTTCCAATCAGGTTCTCTGCTTGTGGCCTGAGAAAGCAGTAGACAATGGCCCAGGTACTTTAGGCCCCTGCACCTGTGTGGGAGACCCAGAAGAAGCTCCTGGCTTCAGATCGGCACAGCTCCAGCTGTTGTGGCCATTTGGGGAGTGAACCAGCAAATGGAAGATCTCTCTCTCTCTCTCTCTCTCTCTCTGCCTCTATATAACTTTTCCTATCAAACTAATAAATAAAAATCTTTAACAAAGATGTGGTAAAGAATTCTCATATGCTCCCTTCTACACACCCTAGTGGATTCCCAAGTTTCCTTTAAATATGAGTCATTATTTTAAAAATGTTACTTGATGTCTTTTCGATATTTCTTGATTTAAAATAGATCATTACTTGTAACATAATTGTAGGTATCAGCTGTTTCTTCTTGAGAAAGAAAGAGAGGCAGAGAGAGAAAGAGGGCTCCTGTCATGGTTCACTCCCCCAGTGCCTGAAACTGCTGGGGCTGGGAGCTCATCCAGGTCTCCCGCGTGGTGGCCAGGAGCCGGCCACGTGCGTGCTCGCCGGCTGCCTCCTGGGATGCAGTCAGGAGTGGAGCTGGGACTCGCACCCAGGTGCTCTGATGTGAGATCCGGTGTCTCAACTCCAGGCCAAATGCCCGCTCCTTTTCCTCTTTGTAGGAGTGTGCAGCCAGGGGGGAAGACTATGAGAAAGTGAAGTTGCTGGAGATCAGCGCAGAGGATGCAGAGAGGTGGGAGAGGAAAAAGAAGAGGAAAAACCCGGATCTCGGATTTTCAGGTACGCTTGACACTGTTTGAGCGTGAGCATTGCGCTGGCCTGGGAGATGAGCGTGGCTCAGTGTTGCTGGCGTGGAGAGACGATGTGCACCTCGAGCTTCTTTCGTGAGAAACTTTCTGAGAGGCCTGAACCCATGAAAAATGCAAATATTTCTCACTGGGCAGAGTGAAAAAAAAAAAGGGCTGCACTTCAGACAATTGGATCCTTTATGTTCTGTGGTAAAATTAATCCAAGTATGTTTATTAGTATCTTTAGGCTAGAGGCTGTGCATAGTGCTTCATGCATGCGTTTCTTAATAATGTTGGTGTTTTAGTTCCCTCAGAAAAGTAGTAACCAACAAGGAATCATTATCTCTGGGTCTCATTTTATTTTTAGATTATGCTGCCGCCCAGCTACGCCAGTATCACAGGTTGACCAAGCAGATCAAGCCTGACATGGAGACGTATGAGAGACTGAGAGAGAAGCAGTAAGTTGCTAAGTTTCCATTCCAAGGCAGTGTGGATGTGTTTGTGTGTTGGGGGGTTGTCTGTCTGCCTGTCTGTCTCCCTCGCATCCTCTTTTTAATGGTGAGGTCTGGGCTAGCCTCAGCTGTGGTGAGGTCTGGGCTAGCCTCAGCTGTGGTGAGGTCTGGGCTAGCCTCAGCTAAGAGGGCCTCCATTCACGCACGGCAGTTCAGGCTGAGCACCTCGTTCTTCCTGGCCGGGCATTCCAGGACAGGGCGAGGGGTCAGCCCAGATTATCGTCCCATAGACGCTGTTGCAGGAGGCCGGCTGCTTCGGCGCGGCCTGGCTGAATTCATGTGCAGGAACAGTGAGTGAGTATCTTGGGCGTTGTGGGCCGTCTGGTGTCTGTCGTAACTGCTCGCCTGTGCTGCTTCAGTGTGAAGGTGGCGGCCGTAGAGGAGACCAGTGAGTGGGTGTGACTGTGTCCCAGTGACACAGGTGGTGAGGGGTGGGCGTTGTGGGGCAGTGGGTTAAAGCACCGTGTCCCGTAGCCGAGTGGTCTCAGTCCCCTGCTGGGCATTTCCGGTGTAGCATCCTGCGTGTGCCCGGGAGGCAGCGGATGATGGCTCACGGCCTTGAGTTCCTGCCACCCATGTGGGAGCCCTGGCTTCGGCCTGGCCCAGCCCCAGGTGTGGAGGGCTCTTGGAGAGTAAGCTAGTGGGCAGGAGATCTCTCTCTGTCTCTCACTCTCTGTCACTCTACCTTTCAAATAAACAAAAAAACCCTGCCACCAGCAGGTGGTGGGCTGTAGTAGCAAATCCCCGCTTTTGAGGAGAGGAGACCTGAGCTTAGAAGTGTAATCCCAAGTTTGTTCCTCATTTTTTTTGGCTTTGGTGAGCCTGCGGCCTCTGGCTATTGGCTCGTTCACCAGTGGAAAGAAGGGGGGGAGTGGGGAAGGGTGGGAGTGGGGAAGGGGTGTGAGGAGAAGGGTGGGAGTGGGGAAGGGTGGGGGTGGGGAAGGGGTGCGAGGAGAAGGGTGGGAGTGGGGAAGGGTGGGGTGGGGAAGGGGTGTTAGAGGGGGTGGATTGCTTTAGTCCTTTCTAGTTCTGTATTTCCTTTTTTAAAAACCGTTGAGGTGGGGTCTGGTATCTGTTCTCTCTCGCTGTGAGCGGGGTCTGTGTGAATGTGGGGTGGAGCGCTTGTTGCGGTACCGGAAGGCTGTTTTGCTGTCATTCCAGTGGAGAAGAGTTTTTCCCGACATCCAACAGTCTGCTGCACGGTACACACGTGCCCTCTGCGGAGGAGATCGACAGGATGGTCACCGACCTGGAAAAGCAGTGAGTACCAGCGGGGCAGCCCGCGAGGTCACGCGCAGATGGCACCGTGGGCGTAGGATGTGCTCTGAGTGACAGCGGACAGAAATGCGGTTTTCAAGACTCACAGCAAGCGTGGGTGGAGTCCCTGGGGTTTGGAGCAGAGATACAGAGCACTGGAGAAGTTGAATTGAAGGGGTCTGGAGAAAACTGTTAGGGGTTTGACTTTAACAGTTATTCCACTATTTGATTTGAAGAAGCAAGAATGTTCTAGTTAATGTGCCGAAGTTGTGTCCACGTTTTTAACCCTGATGGGTGTGTGTGTGTTAGGTAGAACAGAGTGAGTCTACACATGGGGGTTAGCAGGTGTAGTGAGAGCCAGGTCTGGCACGTACTGGCCCCTGCACAATGGCCGTTCAGTGTGTTCTCCTACATGCTCCGTGCCGGGCATGGTTGTTACGGTGGGTACGGTTACTGTAATGGTTACCTCTGGTGACACTTGGGTGTGCAGATCCCAGCACTGCAGCGGTGCTGTTGCAGGATGCTCTGAAGATGAGTTTGCATTTGCCGAGTTTCACGATTCATACCCAGGGGCATCCTGTTCATCAGCTTTAATCCCAGAACATCGTGTTCTAGACGTACTGCCTCCGTTCCTCACTATTCAGCTGTACTGCATCGAGACAGTTTTGAATTTTGTGAATTATGTTGTTCTTCCTCTAGAATTGAAAAGCGAGACAAATACAGCCGGAGACGTCCTTACAACGACGATGCAGATATTGACTACATTAACGAGAGAAATGCCAAATTCAACAAGAAAGCCGAAAGGTTCTACGGGAAGTACACGGCTGAAATTAAACAGAATTTGGAAAGAGGAACAGCTGTTTAATCCCTTCAGGAACTGTTTTTATAAACTTGACAGTAGGTGAAAATCTCTGCCACCAGATTGAGTTTGCTTTGAACCCAGAACCTGGTCTCTGCCTTCCCACGCAGCACTTAGAAATAAATGTTTTTTCTTAAACATACATGTCCATGTATATTTCCACATTTTTGTGCTTGGATATAAGATGTATTTCTTGTAGTGAAGTTATTTTGTAAAAATATACTTTGTATAAATCCTAATTATATTTTTAAATGTATTTTAAATGTATAAAACTGTTCAATCCCTGAAGCATTTTGGGTTTAAGATTGCTGGTGGGGCCAGTGCTGTGGCATAGTGGGTAAAGCCGCCGCCTGCAGTGCCGGCATCCCATATGGGCGCCGGTTCGAGTCCGGGCTGCTCCACTTCCAATCCAGCTCTCTGCTGTGGCCTGGGAAAGCAGTAGAAGATGACCCAAGTCCTTGGGCCCCTGCAGCCACTTGGGAGACCCAGAAGAAGCTCCTGGCTCCTGGCTTTGGATTGGCACGGCTCCAGCCATTGAAGCCAACTGGGGAGTGAACCAGCGGATGGAAGACCTCTCTCTCTCTGCTTCTCCTTTTTTCTCTGTATAACTCTTTGAAATAAATAAATCTTTTTAAAAAAAAGATTGGTGGCAATATTCACAAAATAGTCACTATACCATGAATGTTACTGGGAATTTGACAGAATCCAGAGTTGGACCAGGGGAGCAAGTCACTGACCTTGAACCCACACTGGCTGCTGGAGGGCAGCTCCTGTCTCCACTGTGGCCACACGCGGCCAGGTTCAGGGAGAAGCAAGACCATCCTGTGAATATCACCTTTCTAAAAAAGCAGTACAGTGCTTTGGAATAGAATCCTTACAACGTTATTTAAAACAACTGTCTGGGGCCGGCACTGTGGTATAGCAGGTAAAGCTGCTGCCTGCAGATCTGGCATCCTGTGTGGGTGCTGGTTCGAGTCCTGGCTGCTCCACTTCAAATCCAGCTCTCTGCTATGGCCTGGGAAAGCAGTTGAAGATGGCCCAAGTCCTTGGGTCCTTGTACGTTTGTGGGAGACCTAGAAGAAGCTCCTGGCTTCGGATCAGCGCAGCTCCGGCCGTTGCAGCCATTTGGGGAGTGAACTGGTGGATAGAAGACCTCTCTGCAACTGCCTTTCAAATAAATCTTAAACCACAATTATCTGTGTGTACACACAAACACACAGACGTGTTGACTTTCCATACACACTGAAAATTTTCTTAATTGTAAGAAATTTCAACCATAGTCAAAAGAAGAGTAGTGCAATGAGTCTCAGCTAGCTGGTGCCCATGTTCAGGAATCAATTCACAGCCAATCTTATTTCCTTTTCTATTTTTTTTTTCTTTTTTCTTTTTAAGATTTATTGGTTTGAAAGGCAGAGTTTACAGAAAGGGGGAGACAGATCGTTCATCTCCTGGTTCACTCTCCAAAAGGCCATGACAGCAGGTGCTCACTAGACAGAAGCCAGGAACTTCGGGTTTCTCACCTGGGTGCAGGAGCCCAAGCACTTGGGCCATCTGCTGCTGCTTTCCCAGGTGCAGTAGCAGGGAGCTGGATTGGAAGTGGAGCAGCATCTGTATGAGCTGCTGGCATCGCTGGTGACTTAACGTGCTGCCCCACGATGCCAGCCCCAAACCTCCCAGTACAGTCCTTTTGTATCTGGCTTCTTTCACTTAGCATAGTGTCCTCAGGGGTCATCCATGTCGTAACAGGTGTCAGGATTTCCTTTTCTTTCTTTTCTTTGAATATTTATTTTACTTGAAAGGCAGAGTGCCAGAGAGAGGAGAAAGAGCTTCCATCAACTGGTTCACCCCCCAAGTGGCCACAACTGTCAGGGCTGGGCCAAGCCAAAGCCAGGAGCCTGTAACTACATCCGGGTCTCTCAAATGCGTAGCAGTGGCCCAAGCCCTTGGGCCATTGCTGCAGCTTTCCCAGACACACTAGCAGGGAGCTGGATTGGAAGTGGAGCACCAGGACTGGAATTCGCGCTCATGCTGTGCTGGCGTGGCAGGTGTTGGCTCCTAATTCCAGAATTAAATTTTTATTTGTTTCAAAGGCAGAGGGAGACATAGACAAAGATCTATTCCATTGGTTCCCCCTTCATATATGCACAGCAGCCAGGGCTAAGTCAGGCTGCAGTCGGGAGCCCAGAACTAACCTGGGTCTTGCAAGTGAGTGGCAGGGACCCACTACCTGAGCCCCCACCGCTGCTTCCCAGGGTGTGCATTAGCAGCAAGTTGGAATCAGAAGCAGAGCTGGGGCTCCATCCCAGGCACCCTTATATGGGAGGGCAGTGTTCCAAGGTGTGTCAACCACTGTGCCAGATACCCCAACCCTGTTTTAAAATTTATTTGAAAGAGGAAGAGTAATATAATTCCAGAGCTTTCCCTCCACCCAAAAAGAAATCTATTGCCCATTCAGCAATTACGCTCCGTTTGCCCCTGCCCCAGCCCTGGCAAGCATTCATCTGCTTGCTTTCTCTGTGGGCCAATGGCACCACTTAACTGGCTCCTTTGTGCCTCGCCTTTCCTGAGAGTTGATAGCTGGGCCTACAGGTGTGATTAGAGTGAGGATGAGCACTTCATATAGTGTCCCCCACGCACTGGAAGGTCAGTTAACGTGGGCCTGCCTCCTGAGCTGTAAGCAGCTGCTGGGTATCTCCTGGAGTCATCGTCCATTAGGGGCCACTAAGTGGTGACATTCCAGCTCCATCCCTTCTTCATTTATCTCTGGAAGGCTTCTCTGCAGAGAAACGTCTCCTCTTCCATTGTGTGGTGACCTTGAGGTGCACTGTGGGTAGACGTCAGCATGGATACTTAATTTTTTCTTTTGCTCTTCAGGTTTTTTTTTTTTTTTCCCCAAAGAAACCTTTTATTTGAGGAATACAAACTTCATGTGTTTCATAAGTGCAGCTTCAGGAATATAATGATTCTTCCCACCATACCCTCCCACCCACACTCTCACCCCTCTTCCTCCTCCCTCTCCTATTCCCGGTCTTATTTTGTGACTAAGATCTATTTTCAGTTAATTGTATACATAGAAGATTATACTAAGTAAAGAGTTTAACAATTAGTATAAAAAATTAACTGTTCCTCAACAGTCGAGACAAGGACTGTTCAGTCATTGCATCTCAAAGTTAATTTCACTTTTTTAATAAAATTAATTAACTTTAAAGAAACACCCAAGAATGATACATCTTTCGTGAGCTCTTAGACATAACTATAATTTCTGAGACATAAGAATATCCTCTGCTTAATACATTAAAAGAAAGTAAGTCGTTGAGAACAAGTTTTATCTTTAAAGAAGCATCTAACAAAACAAGCAATGGAGTTGGACACTTAGGCATAACTAAGACTTATGGTACATAAGAATATCCTCCACTTAATACACTAAAATGAAATCAATCTTGAGAACAAGAATAAATAGAACTTGAGAACAAGTTTTACTGTTAACTCTCATAATACAACTCTTTGAGGACAGAGGTTCTCCATGGGAAGTTAGTGCACAGTGACTCCTGTTGTTAATTTAACAATTAACACTCTTATGTATGATGTCAGTGACCACCTAAGACTCTAGAAATGAGCTGGCTAGGCTTTTGAATTCACAAATTGCATCATATTCAGAAAAGACCATAAGCAAAGTGGAAATTCTCTCCTCCCCTCAGAAAAAAGTACATTTTTCTTTGATGACCACTTCTTTCCACTGGGGTCTCACCCACCAAGGTCCTTCATGTAGGGCATTTTTTTGTCATAGTGTTTTGGCTTTCCATGCTTGAAATGTTCTCGTGGGCTTTTCAGCCAGATCAGGATGTCTTAAGGGCTGATTCTGAGGTCAGAGTGTTACTGAAAGTAATTGTCATTCTATGTGTCTGCTTCCTATATTGGAGCATTCACTCTTTTTTAATTCTATAGTTATTATTTTTAAAAGATTTATTTACATGAAAGGCAGAGTTACAGAGAGGCAGAGGCAGAGAGACAAAGAGAGACAGAGGTGTCTTCCATCTGCTGGTTTATGCCCCAGATGGCTGCAGTGGCTGGAGTTGTGAAGATCCAAAGCCAGGAGCCAGAAGTTTCTTCCAGGTCTCCATGTGAGGACTTGGACCCTCTTCCACTGCTTTCCCAGGCCATAGCAGAGAGCTGGATTAGAGGTGGAGCATCCAGGACTCGAATTGGTGCCCATATGGGATGCTGGCACTGCAGGCAGCAGCTTTACCCTCTACACCACAGTGCCAGCCACTCTCTCTATAATTATTACCAAACACCTAATCCTATTTATATGATCACTGTAATGCTTAATCCTATCTATGTTATCACATAACACTTTAACACTTAATCCTATCCATATGATCACTTTAATACTTGCTATTTTTAGCAGCCAGCTTAAGGGGATTTGGGGTCCCAGGGCAAGTTTTTAAACTGTACCCTTAGAAGTAAGTCCATAGGAATGTATGCAGAACTATACAGCTTTACAGTTATGAACTTCATACATTTCATAATTACAACTTTAGGAACATAGTGATTCTTTCCACCATGCCCAACCTCCCACCCACACTCCCACTTCTCTTCCTCCTCCCTCTCCTATTCCCACTCTTATTTTTTACTAAGATCAATTTTCAATTAACTTCATACACATATGATTAACTATGTTAAGTAACGAGTTCAACAAATAGTATAAAAAGTACAAAACAAAACCCTGTTCCTCAACAGTCAAGTTCAAAGTCATTGCTTCTCAAAATGTCAATTTCTTTTCTACATATTGCCTTTTAGGTGCTCTATTAGTTATCACAGGTCAGGGAAAACATATAGTATTTGTCCCTTTGGGACTGGCTTGTTTTCCTAAGTATGATGTTTTCCAGTTTCATCCATTTTGTTGCAAATGACCAGAGTTCATTTTTTTAAACTGCTGTGTAGTATTCCATGGTGTACATATCCCATAATTTCTTTATCCAGTCTTCAGTTGGTGGGCATTTGGGTTGATTCCATATCTTAGCTATTGTGAATTGAGCTGCAGTCAACATGGGGTACAGATAACTTTTTCATATGCTGATTTCATTTCCCTTGGGTAAATTCTCAGGAGTGGGATGGCTGGGTTATATGGTAGGTATATAT